CAAATAAGCCTTTTAAAAAATGGGCAAAAGACATGAACAGACACTCAAAGGAAGACTTATAAATGGCCAATAAACATGTGAAAAAATGCTCCATATCACTAATCATCAGAGAAATGCAAATTAAAATCATAATGAGATACCATCTAACATTCATTAGAATGGTTACTATTAAAAAGTCAAAAAACAGATGCTGGCAAGACTGCAGAGAAAAGGAAATGCTTATATACAGTGGGTAGAAATGTAAACCAGTTCAGCCACTATGGAAAGCAGTTTGGAGAGTTTTCAAAGAACTTAAATCAGAACTACCATTTGACCCAGCAATTGCATTATTGGATATATATCCAAAAGAGAGCAAATCTTTATTTTGTGAGACAGAATCTTGCTCTGTCACCCAGGCTGGAGTGCAGTGGCGTGATCTTGGCTCACTGCAACCTCCGCCTCTCAGGTTCAAGTGATTCTCCTGCCTTACCCTCCTGAGTTGCTGGGACTACAGGCTCACGCCACCACATCTGGCTAATTTTTCTATTTTTTTTCTTTTTTTTTTTTTTTTTAAATTTTTCTATTTTTAGTAGAGATGGGGTTTCACCAGGTTGGCCACAGTGGTCTCGAACTCCTGACCTTGTGATCCACACTCCTTGGCCTCCCAAAGTGCTGGGATTATAGGCATGAGCCACTGTGGCTGGCTGAAAGCAAACCTTTCTACCAAAAAGACACATGCACTTACATGTTCATCACATAACTATTTATAATAGCAAAGACATGGAATCAACCTAGATGCCTATCAACGGTGGGCTGGATAAAGACAATGTGGTACATATACACCACGGTTCTACACAACCATAACAAAGAATGAAATCATGTCCTTTGCAGCATCATGCATGCAGCCAGAGGCCACTGTCCTAAGTAAATTAATGCAGGAAAAGAAAATCAAATACCGCATGTTCTCACAGCTGGAAGCTAAACGTTGATGGATATAAAGATGGCAACAGTGAAACTGGGGAGTACTGGGGGTAGGGGAAGAATGGGGGATAAGAGCTGAAAAAGTAACTCTTGGGTACTATGCTCAGTACCTGGGTAATGGGCTCATTCATCCTCTAAACCTCAGCATCATACAATATATCCAGTTAACAAACCTGCACATGTACTCCCAAATCTAAAATAAAATAAAAATAAATAAAATGTATAGGGAACACTGCTATACATGTTTCCCTTGTGCTAATCCTAGTTTTGGGTACTTTTGTGGCCTACCAGGTGAGAAGATGTTCTCAGAATCACAGCTTTGATCTACAGGGGTGCCAATGTTATTCCCCTTATGCTTGGGGCTTAGATTTGAACCAGTGCTATGAATTGACTGTGAAAGAATCAGTGGAATCCTCTGAGATTCTGCCAGCAAAAATGTAATTCAAATTTAAATCTAATCAACATTCACTGAGTGCCAACCATATGCCCAGTATGATGTTACGCACATGCTAACATTTGCAGCCTTAAGCTACAAATATAAATAAGTTTACATAAAGGCACAAATAACATAGTTTGTATTCTATGCAGTAAGACTTGTCTTAGAAGGATATACTCTGCGGGTTTGTCATAATCACTGATTATTGCTGAAGGCAAGGAAAAAGAAACCAGGAAAGTGATTACATAGGATAAAAACCAGAAAAAGGGATACTCAAACAAGATTAATTTATTTTCTATTTATTATTACTATTTTTTTTTAGAGACAGTGTATCACTCTATCACCCAGGCTTGGAGTGCAGTGGCACAATCACGTACCCTTGACCTCCTGGGCTCAAGAGATCCTCCCACCTCAGTCTCCTATGTAGGTAGGGTCACAGGTGTACAACACCATGCCCAGCTAATTTTTTTATTTGTCATAGAGACAGGGTCTCCCTAAGTTGCCCAGTTTGGTCTCAAACTCCTTGCCCCAAGCAATCTTCCTGCCTCAGCTTCCCAAAGTGCTGAGATTACAGGCATGAGCCACCACTCCTGGCAAAATTCATTTCTTTTTTTTTTATTTTTTATTTTTTTTAAACACTGCTACAAAGACGTGTCCAACAAAATTCATTTCTATTAAGATATTTTCTTTTCTTTTTCTGGATAAAGGATTTGGTCCATGGCTAATTTATTAAGACATTTTCAACAAATTTCCCATCTGGGCTAAAGTTAATCTTGAGATGGAGCAAATTCTAAGCCTGTTGATGAGATTTAATTTATTAATCCCAGTTGGTAAGGGAAGGAATTTTCTAAAATGGGAATTTCGAGAGCAGACACCAAATCATTAAATAGTTTTCAACTAAATGTCTATAAAGTCCACCATTTTGATTTGACTCAAGTTGTCATAGAGACCCTGAGCTTCTCGTTAGCTTGGCACTGACAGCTTAACCTCATTTTCCCTTTCTAATCTCACATTTTCTATCCTCTCACAGAAATCTATCTCCCAGTCAGGCAGTAAGTTCTATTTTCTCCTTTTCCAAACATGTCTCCTACATTCTCATCTTTGCCGTGGCTTAGGTGTTCTGTATTGTATAAACCACTCTTTTCTTCCCGCCTTATTTAAATCCTACCTATCCTTGATTAGTTCAGTGGCTACTTCCGGTGGACAATATTTCAGGTGCTTATATTTTCTTTATGATATATTACAGAAATCCATGTAGATCTAAGTCTTCAAAGCTGTCACAGGAAGATCTGGATTTGACTTATAGGCATATTATTTATTAGCTTTGTAACGTTGGGTAAGTCATTCAGCTCAATCATATATCAAATTTGAATGAGACACAGTTTCTTATTTCAAGAAGCTCACAATGGAAAGGATATTAAATTTTTAGAAAGTCTACAAACATGACAATATAATTACGAGAGACTCAAATGAGACAACAGAAATAATGGTATTTTAAAAATGAAAATAGAAATATAAGTTATTTAAGAATTCCTCAAATTTAAGTTTTCATTGCTTTCAAAATCATGGCTTATTCCTTTAAAAATAGCTTATGTTTAGAACTCAGGGTTTAGAACAGAATCCATGTTGAGATTCTGGCATCTTGCCACCTTGGAAAGACTCCTCTAAATTAAGCTATACTGTCTGTGGCCCTTCTTAAAAGATAGATGCTCCCTAGCCCATTGAAGGTACAAACAAGGGTTAGTGAGTAATTTTATATAACACGGTGGCTTTTGCTAAGATTTATTTCAAAGAGCTGCTTGGACAGGTGCTCTTACTATGTTTATGGAGATGACCACATCATAGGTTCTAAAGCCAACTGTTTAATCTCATAAAACACTCAATTAATTTATAAACTGCAAATAAGACTTTGAGATATAAATTTGGTAATTCCAAGAGACTCATAGTCATATGTCTATGGGTTACAAGGTTCTGTTATTTATATTTCTTTCTTTCTTTTTTTTTTTTCAAACAGAGTCTAACTCTGCTGCCCAGGCTGGAGTGTAGTGGCACAATCTTGGCTTACTGCATTCTCCGCCTCCTGGGTTCAAGCGATTCTCCTGCCTCGGCCTTCCAAGTAGCTGGAATTATAGGCACAGCCAGCACACCCAACTAATTTGTATTTTTAGTAGAGACAGGGTTTTACCATGTTGCCCAGGCTAGTCTCGAACTCCTGACCTTAAGTGATCCACCATGCCCTGCCTTGCTATTTATATTTCTAATTCAAGCTTATCATCTAAACTTAGATCACACTGTAGCTATAAAATGGTAATGTTGATTGCCTCTTAAAGGCTTTTCCCAGGTACCTTTTATTAAAATGCTTGGTTAAATGAGTCCAATTATCACCTTTTCAAAATTATTCTAAATCCCCTAAAATCTACAAAATATTTCTTTTTTCTCTGAGATGGAGTCTTGCTCTGTCACCCAGGCTGGAGTGCAGTGGTGTGATCTCAGCTCACTGCGACCTCCACCTCCTGGGTTCTCCTGTCTCAGCCTCTGGAGTAGCTGGGATTACAGGTGCATGCCACTATGCCAAGCTAATGTTTTCTATTTTTAGTAGAGATGGGGTTTTACCATGTTGGTCAGGCTGTTCTCAAACTCCTGACCTCAAGTGATCAGCCTATGTCGGCTTCCCAAAGTTCTGGGATTACAGGCGTGAGCCACTGCACCTGGCCCAAAATTTCTTTTCCTTTTTTTTTTTTTTTCTCCCAATTTGAGACGACGTCTTGCTCTGTCACCCAGGCTGGAGTGCAGTGGTGTGATCTGGGCTCACTGCAACCTCCACCTCCTAGGTTCAAGGGTTTCTCTTGTCTCAGCCTCCCGAGTAGCTTGGACTACAGGCATGCGCCACCACACCCACCTAATTTATATATATATATTTTTTAGCAGAGACAGGGTTTCACCATGTTAGCCAGGCTGGTCCTGACCTCTTGACCTCAGGTAATCCATTACAGGCGTGAGCCACTGTGCCCAATATATTTATTTTCTTAATGCAATAAATTTTCACATATTTCAGAATTTTTCATTTACATAATACATAAAAACAGGAGTATTTATCTCCCCTGTAAAACACTCATTTCACAAAGAGCAAAATGTTTGGCTGGGCATGGTGGCTTATATCTGTAATACCAGCCCTTTGGGAGGCCAAGCCAGGAGAATCACTTAAGATCAGGAGTTTGAGATCAGCCTGGGCAACATAGTGAGGTTCCATCTCTACAAAAAAAAAAAAAAAATCTACCCAGGTGTAGTAGTGCCAGCACTCACTTGAGTCCAAGAGATTATTCAGGCTACAAGTGAGTTATGATCAAACCACTGTACTCCAGCCTGGCTGACAGAGTGAGACCTTGTCTCATAAATAAATAAATAACAGAAAGCCCACTAATTACAGAAATAAAGCTAATCTTTTATTTTTATGTTCCTAAAGACAAGTACACTAATAACAAATCACTATTTTTTGCTATAATAATAAAGAAGAATCCTAAAGAGCCCAGTATTAAAAAAAAAAAGAGGAAAATAGAACTACATATTTGAGTTACTTTTATTAGGGGGAAAAAAATCTACTTACGGCAGTGGCTCGAGAAAGTTCTCGACACGTACTAAGCAGTCCATTTTGTAAATCATCCCTTTGTAACACCACTGTCTGAATGGCTGCTGGGTTATCTGCATGCATTTCTATCTCTTGGCTGGCTGATAGCAAAGCTTGCTCAAGCGTGTACTATTATAACAAAAAGAATTACACTTAATGTTCTGCATCATTGAATTAATTCTTTTTACTTATCAGTGTCCTGATAATAATCATATAAAGTAACATCAATTGTAGACAATAAACATAATTGTCCTACTTTCTCCTTGTGGAGCTGCTGAAGTTTCTCTTCCAGAGCATGCACCACTTTATCTTGTTCACATAATCGGCTTAACTTGGCCTAGGTTATAAGAGAAGATGTCTTGTTAGCAATTTTTTATTTTTTCTGTAATTGGACATAAGCAGTCATTTTATGACCAAAATCTAGCTTATAAAGATAGAATGCTTTAAAAATACACATGCAAGCATTTTGCCTCTACAATCTGCTAAACAGGTTAAGTGACATATTCAGTCCTTAATTAAAATGCTTACTGGAGTCCATTGTTATATATTTAAAAAATCATGCTCTTAGGTTCTTAGAAATGAATATAAACAATAGAACACTTCTTTTTTTTTTTTTTTTTTTGAGACGGCGTTTCACTCTTGTTACCCAGGCTGGAGTGCAATGGCGCAATCTCGGCTCACCGTAACCTCCGCCTCCTGGGTTCAGGCAATTCTCCTGCCTCAGCCTCCTGAGTAGCTGGGATTACAGGCATGCACCACCACGCCCAGCTAATTTTTTGTATTTTTAGTAGAGACGGGGTTTCACCATGTTGACCAGGATGGTCTCGATCTCTTGACCTCGTGATCCACCCGCCTCGGCCTCCCAAAGTGCTGGGATTACAGGCTTGAGCCACCGCGCCCGGCCACAACAGAACACTTCTAATCGAAATATAAATAAAAATATTATTAATGGAGAAAAATAAAGTTCATCAGTTTTTAATGTTGTAAATTCTTAATATTACCCTAATTTCTCCCTAATTTCTTAACTATGAAAGTATAAGAAAGTACTCTAATAACATTTTAATAGCACAATAAACCAGTTTTAATGTTTCAAAATGAAAACACTGGACAAATTGGAAATGGAACTTTATGGCATAATGACACAAAAGGAAGAAATTTGAGACTTTACCTTCTTTGCCATTTATCTATTAAAATAACTACCTTATCTTTGTCAGACAACAAGACTCAGTTTACATAAATGAAAGGTGTTAAAAAGAAAAAGGCAGGGCTGGGCTTGGTGGCTCACCCCTGTAATCCCAGCACTTTGGGAAGCCAAGACAGGTGGACCACCTGAAGTCAGGAGGTTGACACCAGCCTGGCTAACTTGGCGAAGCCCTGACTCTACTAGAAAAAAAAAATACAAAAAGTTAGCTGGGTGTGGTGGTGTGCTTCTACAGACCCAGCTATTTGGGTGTCTGAGGTACAACAATCACCTGAACCCGGGAGGCGGAGGGTGCAGTAAGCTGAGATCATGACACTGCACTCAAACTGGGTGACAGCGAGAGACCCTGACTCAAACAGAACAAAACAAAGGGGGTACAACTCAATGGAATAAAATCAGGGGAAATAATGAGGGAAGAATGTGTGGTAAATCAGGGAAGAATGTGTGGCAAATAAAATATGATATAAAATAAATGAAATTTAATTTAAAAGGAAGTAGTGATAAAATGTCTAAAGGCTGATACTTTATCCAAAAAACAAGGCAATTCTTCTTTGCCTCCAGTCTTCTATAACTTTTTTTTTTTTTTTTTAAGGCAAGGTCTAATTCCATTACCAGGCTGGAGTGCAGTATCACGATCTCAGCTCACTGCAACCTCTCCCTGCTGGGTTCAGGAGATTCTCATGGTAAAGCCTCCAGAGTAGCTGGGATTACAAGCGTTCGCCACCACGCCCAGCTAATTTAGATATTTTTAGTAGAGACAGGGTCTTGCTATGTTGCCCAGGCTGGTCTCAAACTCCTGGCCTCAAGTGATCCACCTTCCTCAGCTCCCCAAAGTGCTGGGACTACAGGTACAAGCCACTGTACCCAGCCATTCTCTAACTTTTAAAAATCAGAACAGTTTTTACTTTCATGTAAGTGATGCTTAATATGTTCAACTGCTAACAACAGGGAGTAGTGGAACATAGAGGGCAGGGAATAATTAGAGCACACACACACACACACACAATATAAATTTATCTGATGTCATTTTGGAGGACTTGGGAGAAAGAAGTTTTTTGGTCATGCTTATTTCCAGTGTTTTTGACAGAGAATATGACAGAGTACTGACAATATATATCATACTAATACTTACATCAATATCTACTTCTTCAGGTCTGTATTTGTATAATGTGCCTCTACCTTCATCTTGTGACAGCTATAAGAAAAAAATCATATAGCAACTTAAAAAATCTTATTTAAAAATATATTTAGCCTATATTTTAGATTTATATCAAATATATATGGCAATATAACAAAAATAGATTGTAATGATTCTCATACTTTTAGAAGTTTAATTCAAACACAGATCAACAAAGTAGAAAAATATTTAACAGAGATATAATATGCAAGATACATGAGAACGATGTTTGTAGCAAGCTTGTTAAACATAATAATATGCTGGTCAAACAAAACTAATACAGTACCTTACATTCTTGGTTTTAAAGACACACATTATTTTAATAAAAAAATTGACAAATACAATCATAGCAACTGTATCAAATCAAATATTTGAGTCAAGCATAGTTCAACAGTCAAAACCATCCTTCACAGTATACACATAATCACACACTGTATATGTGTACACTCAAATGTCAACACACCTTATTTAACAAAACCTATAACATATTGTATACATATACATAATATAAAACACACATACACAATATAGACTTATCTTGTTCTTCTGTCTTAAGAACTAAAAGATAATGAAGGAAAAGGATGGGTTTAATTGAAAAGAGGAAAATCATTCAAAACCTCATAAAACTGAAAGCCTGTTATGAACTATGGATAGTCAATTTTCAAATTTATGTGTGTTAGTTGACACCATTTGCGTTATTATATTTTAAGAAATTATTCAATGTACTTAAGCTTCTTCCCAGTATCTTTTGGCTAAACAAATCCTTACTTCTGATTGTGCTTAGCAAAATTTCAATGGCCATCCCAGTTAGTTATACCACAGATAAAATCATAGCCTCTGTAGGCAATACTTCATTATTTTTATTGTCTTTTGATTTTTATATTGACGGTGAGAAAGTAACGAAAATATAGTAGAAAAAATTTAAATGGGGCTCATTGCATGTTTGCTAAATGGCACCAATTTTTTTCAAGGTACGGTTAGAAATAATGTGTCTCAACTATATTCCAGTTTAAAAAATAAAATTTCATAAATGCTTTGGGGATACTTTGCAGAGAAATTTAAAAAAAAAAGTAAATTTCATATATGCATAATACATAAGAAAGTATAAATGACAATTCTGCATGTTTTCTCTATGAAAGAAACTGCTTGACAGTTACAGTTTTAAAAGGAGGCATAATTTAAACAGGAGATAATTTTGAACCGATCTAGAAATGTAGGAATCAGAAGGTAAAAATATAAGCATTCCAAACATACAATAAATCCTGGATTTACATGTTTCATTTCAAGACATTACTTTCACATACCTCATGCAAATGAATCTGTGACTATTTAAGGGTATGCACACTGATTGTTAAACCACAAAACTTTTATAGAAATGAATATTACATGAAAAATGAATTTAATCACCAAAGTTGGAATACTCTTACACTATTTAAAATAAGTATCCTCAGGTGTGCCCTGAGAAGTGTCAACTATCATTCTAAATTAAAGCACCTAGATCTAAGAAAATAATTTATATTCCTATATTAAAAAAGGAATAAAAAGTAAGTTTTAAATAGGTAGATCCATGATAAAAAAAAAATGTAAGACAACGTCAAAATTACATTTTTCATATTTATAACAAATTAAACACCAAAGGCCATAAGCTACTAAGATGCTCAAATATAGTTTTCTTAATATTTATTTTATTTTTTGAGACACAGTCTCGCTGTTGCCCAGTTTGGAGTGCAGTGGTATGATCTTGGCTCACTGCAACCTCTGCCTCCTGGGTTCAAGCAATTCTTCTGCCTCAGTCTCCAGAATAGGTGGGATTATAAGTGTTGGCCACCTTGCCCAGCTAATTTTTGTATTTTTAATAGAGATGGGGTTTTACCAGGTTGGCCAGGCTGGTCTCGAACTCCTGACCTCAGGTGATCCACCAACCTCAGCCTCCCAAAGTGCTGGGATTACAGGTGTGAGCCACCGCACCCAGCTGTAGTTTGCTTAATATTTAAAGTTAAATGCAAAACAGCTTTACTAGACCACAGAATCTGAATATAACTAGTGGACAGTGTTACATCTAGATTAAAATATCAACAGTACCCTGTATCTCAGAGTGAACAGAAAAAAAGACTGGTATATTAAGGTGAAAACTTAGTAATTTACAGTAAATCTTTAGGTTATTAATATACTATTTTTGTTTAGGGAATCTTATTGCAGATTTATTTTTATATCAGTTAGCATATCATAATAAAGAAAAATATCTACTGTAGTTACATTAGAGTGATATATCCTTTATAGCCATATAAACATGTTACACATATCAACCAGATTTTTGTGGTATTTCTACTTCTAGTACCACCAAAAATTTCTTTAAATCATTTATCAAATTATTCAATAAAGATATTCATTAAACATCAACTAACCAAATTCTTAAACGTTTTGCCACACATTGCTTTTACAACAGAAGCATAAGAAAACAAAATTATTCCTTAAAAAAACAACAAACACGTTCACAGGATTGAAAAGGTTGCTATTTTGTCCTCAAGATGAAAATGCTGACCCCTCATACCAACATTCTCCCAACCCCCTGCCCTACCAAAAAAAAAAAAAAAAAAAAAAAAA